TATTTTTGCTCTCCAATTTTCACATAGCAGCTGAAATGGTAATGAACTGCCGTCTATATGGTCCATTGTGGTGCAATAACGCATTTATTTTTGAGGCAATGAATAACATTCTCTCAAAACCCTTCAAATGTGCCAATTCTTTAAGATATTCAATTCTATTCTTTGATATGGTAAATTTGGTACAATTATTGAACTTGAAACCTCCCAATCGTAAACTAGAATGTGTCTGTGGTAATTATATAATCAATAGCAAAAGAGATTACTTGTTACACACTCCCTCTAAAGAAATTTATCAAGTCAATTCATTTTCTCCAAATTATTCACAAATTGAGATTCGACATGCTGTTAATGGCACAACAATCACCGTCTCACAAGACACTATCAAACAAGATTTCATACCAGCAATATGCCAGCAAATTAATGGCTCTTTTCACTTCAAACCAATTCACAAAATGGCCTTTACATTATATTAAATGTCTTTCCATATTTGGCTTCATCTCTAAAATAAACACTTTCTATTTTTGCAACCAGTTTAAAATATTTTTCAAAAAAAATACCTCAACATACTAGTAAGTCGTATCAGTTATCAATTATATTACATCATTTCAATTCGTTTACAAGACATATCAATTCAAATTTTTATTTCACGTTTTTATAAGAAACTCTTGTCAATTTCCTTGTCATCTTTGATGGTGTGAAATCTTTTACAATATTAATTCACACGGTGTGAATCTTTCACAGCATTGAGTTTCACTCAGTGTGAAATGGTTCAAGATGAAAGATTTCCAACTTGTAAGAATTATGAATAGTTCAATAAAATTTCAATTTATCAAAAATTAATAATCATTCTGCAACGTCATTGGAGACACTTTTTGAGACGTCATTGAGGACGCTTTTTTTGACGTCTTAATGACTCTCAAATTGACACCGTCAAAATGACGAAAAAAAACGTCATTTTGACGTCCACAACACCGTCCCAATGACACCTTAACAAGCATAAACAAAGGCGTCATTCATGACTATAAAATCGTCAAAACAAGCGTCAACAAAAATGAGCGGGTATTTTATACAATAAAAAAAAATGATTATAAGTGAAAAGGAAAGCCGAGACTCTGCTGTCGTGCAATTAATCGATTTTAATTTAAATAGAAACGAAAATTCACTAGTTCCTGATCTTTTCCAGAAATTAAACAACACAATAAAGAATTCTCCCTCCGTTAAGAATCATTTGAAATTTTCACAAAACTTTGAAAAAATTGGTGTAGTGCTACTGATGGATGATGGTATTGATTTGGTCATATCGGAACAGTACGATTGTTTAATTATTAATGATGGAAATTATTTGAAAATTTATAACCTACCACAAGAAGGTGATGGAATTAATTTATCAGTTGATAGATTTAAGTGTTTGCTCTCTGTTCAATATGAGTATTCTTTTGCATGCATGAAATTGGTGAATGAAAGAGGTGAGGATTTTATTTATGCAACTGCTAGAGGAGATTGTGTAGTAATTAAGATTAGAGTTTCAGATTTGATGAAGGGAGAACCAACATTAATTTGGCAATCGATATTTGCTGTTGAAATTGAGAAATTGGATGTTTTCAAAAATAAGGTCTACATTACTAGTGGTTCAGAAATTATTATTTTGGATTCAAGCAATGGTCAACCACCTATTATTGAGGTAAATATGCCAGCAATTGTTGATGGCTATTATCTGAAAATATGTCAGAAAATCAAATATAG